CGGCATATTACCTCGTATCTGCATGTCATCCTCCATTCCGAAACCGATAAGCGCTCGCTTAGGATTAAATTTAATATAATGATGCTCTCACCGATTGCGCTTATCGGCTGCTGCATCTTGAGATCCTCATGTCTTCTACAGTGCGCTATACCAGAACTGAAAATAATATTCTTAAATAGCCGATATACTTTTCACCAGCGATGTCGGTTGTCTTCATATATTCATATACTCAACCCATTCAGAAACCGTCTGATCACGCCTTGAGTAGGAGCACGACGTAGCAGATTTTACTTCCCATGTAAATGTACAATTTCTCAATAGGGAAAGTATCTACCTGCAGCGACTTGCAGCATCTTGGGGTCTTGACTAGCTGTAATTTTACTCAGACGCGCTGCTGTTTTGCAATAAGCCGATCACATAATAGCCGATTGAGGAAAACTTAATCCGACTCCAATAAGTACATCAGCTTGATGCGTGATCACCACATAAAGGGCCTCATTGGCTTAATGTCCTGGCATTCCCATTATGAGCTGATGAGTAACCTTGCTGACTTCCTATTTTATTTTGAATTATGCCATTATAAGCCGAGAGGCTTTGACTGGACGTAACGATATCAGTGATGACTTTATCCTTCTCCTTTTACTATTTGTATTCTTTCGTAGATACAAGTACACACAGAAGAACCTTCAATTGCTTTCCATGAGATGACAAGCACAACTTTCTAGTCAAATGTCGTGACAGACTTATAGTACCAAGCTTGGTAAACGTAATCGGCCTGCAATAGATTCATTGTTAGAAATAGAGACCAATCAGCCTTGGCCAGATGCTCTAGCAATCATGTGCAGCTAGGCTGGCCCCTACAATCGACTTCTGTATATATGTTGCTGCATCTTCTGGTATACGTTAGCGTTGTAGACAACAAGGCCGAACTGGTTGAGCTCAGCTGCACCTTCTCGAACACGGTCTGCTTGATCGACTCTGTCGCACAAGATCTCCTCCATGGTCGCTGGATGTCGCCAGCATGCGAGTTCCTCAATCTGGGCTCCGACCCCTAGTCTCCCAGGCCCGCGTATGGTCACGAACAAGGATGATGATGAAACTGCAGACTCATGTCTAGAGTTTGTTGTTGACGTCAGTTGGGGCTAGTTATTATTGGACTAAAAAGTAGTCCAAATCCAGTTAAAGATTGGCTAACAATTGAATTAAAGGTTTGCAACAAATTACTCCTCCTTCCTATAATATAGTGTATTCTAACCTGGCAAAATTTATCCTCAAATATAATACATTCTAGAGACAAAAACCAAATTTGCATTAACACACTTGTTAAGACATATTGAGCCATGCTGTCAACCACATATACCCATGTATTTTTTCTCGTAAGCAATAAGCAAATGGCTTGAGTAAGAACATAAGCTGCGAAGCGATCAGCGAATAGGGTAAATACTTTCCATTTATCGACTAGTCACCATTAAATAAAGAATACATGCGTCTTTTATGTTCTCTTAATGCATCTTAAAATTCATAGAATGTTACAGGATAGAGAGAGTTACTCATCTATTAGCGTAATTAACCCCTAGTATCAAATAATCCCGAATCCTCCTTTTTTCTTGGGTTAAGCGTAGCAGTAGTAGATTGAGTCCTCTCGATATTGTTTTTTAGACCAAAGGCCAAAGGCCCTACATATAGAAAGCAAAGAGTTTTGTTGGGAAATCAGCTTTTCCATTAATTGGCTTATAAACCGTCTTTTCAACCAACGAAACTTGATATTTTTATCTCACAGTAATCGTGCGACAATATTTTCAGTCATGACTTATCGATCAAGCGAACAGGACATTTACAAGCAGGTTCATAGACGTGCTCAAAGCACCACACTCTACCTCCCAGTTGAAGTTTCTACCAAGCCACTACATTACAGAGTTCCAAAAAACCAAACATGGATGCCATTCCAGACACGGTAACAAAAGAAGGATCTACATCACTAATCTTGGGCGCTTAATTCTCATCACACAAATAATGTGAAAACCTCCGTGATTCTCGCACAACATGTTTGGACGTTTGGTTAGTTGAAATCCAACTTCAATCGTTTGGCAACTCTGTTTCTTTGCTGGTGAGGTCGTGACTCGTGAAGGTGAAGTGGAAAGCAGCCGGTGGACGTTGACGACTCACGAGGTGGCTTGCAGCACCTGCAAATCTACCGTCCATCACCGATCCGACGTCTCATATCATTTCAACGAACAGGTCGTTCGCCTCTCGCATCGCACACGAGATATAAACCATTTCTTCACTGCTGAGTGCCGACTCCTCCATACTACTACTTCACGATCTGGTCCAAAGCCCCAACTGAAATTTACATCCAGGCCCTTCGCCGGAGATGGCGTCGAGCTGACCTACACCGTGGCGGCAGCGCGGCGACAGGCTCCGCCTCAGCGGCGGGGAGTACTCCCGAAGCCCTCCAAGCCGCTCTCCTGGCTCTCCCGCGCCGCGCGCTACGCCCGCCGCCGAGCACCGCCCGTCTTCGCCCTCGCCGGCATGCTCTTCGCTGCCGCCCCTCTTCACTTCCTCCTCCTCCACCCCATCGCCGTCCGAACCTGCCGCGTCGGTCGGATTCAACCACCTTGCCGTCGCCGGACACCCGTCCTTCCACGAGTCCGTCGGCGGCAAGCAGTCCCCTGGGCTGCGTCAGCGCGCGCTGCAGGTGCTCGTGACGGGCGGCGCCGGGTTCGTGGGGAGCCACCTTGTGGACCGGCTGGTGGAGCGCGGCGACAGCGTGATCGTGGTGGACAACTTCTTCACGGGGCGCAAAGGGCAACGTGGCGCACCATCTCCAGAACCCCAGGTTCGAGGTGATCCGCCACGACGTCGTCGAGCCCATACTGCTCGAGGTCGACCAGATCTACCACCTTGCCTGCCCAGCCAGCCCCGTGCACTACAAGTACAACCCCATCAAGACCATCATATCCTCACTCCAGTTGCTTCATCTGAATCTGAATGCTATAATCCAAATTTACTTTCGTTTTATTGTTATTATTTTAATGATTGATGGCTGTGACTCAATTCATTGCTAAGTTGTTTTGTGTTATCTTTTCTTTATGGTTTAATTTTTGTTTGTTCCTGATGTATTATATGGGTTTGATTATTTTTGAAGGAGTAAAGATACGTTTTGGAATGAGGGTTGGTAAAAGTAGAGTATTTGAACGAATTTCATATGTTGTTTCGTAGGAAATGTTGATTTTTTTTTGTAGGAAATGTGTGGTTCGTAGTTCTTTTATATGGTTTCATACTTTTAAGTCAGTGTCTCCTTCCTGCATACAAAATTCTATGGTTGGATTGCTCTGAAGAAAGGTTCTTGGATCTGGTGATCTCGGATTGGGTTGCCTGCTAATTCTAGTTTTAATGAACATGATTGCTTCATGTTTTCCTAACTTGTACCAGGAGTAAAGGTCAAAGCTGCAAGCAGACTTTGGACCTAGTCGAGCTGTTGAAAAGTTTGGATTGTAGCTGCAAAAAATATAGGTCAAGGCTGTGGCCTTTCTTCAAAATAGTGTTGCGTATCTATCACTTCACTGTCATATGTCTTTCTTTTTTCCATCTACTAGTGCTGGTGTGCTTAGGGGAGGTGAAGCCTAAGTGCCTAGCTACCAAACTAGATCCTCAAATAGTCAGAACGTCCAAGAAGAAAGCTGGACATGTTAGTGCTTGCTCTATCTTTTTGAAATGTTATTGTGAACTTTAACTTTTGAGATGGCACAAGACGAATGTTGTTGGGACACTGAACATGCTTGGATTGGCCAAGAGGATTGGGGCAAGGTTCCTACTTACAAGCACCAGTGAGGTCTATGGTGATCCCCTCCAGCACCCTCAGGTGGAAACTTATTGGGGCAATGTCAACCCTATAGGTAACAACTCTTCTTCAAAATATTATTTTTTGTGAATTCTGTAATGCAACAGTTCCATCAAACAGATCGATTGAGTCGATCATAGGAGATTAGTGGAAAGTACAGGGATATCCTCATTGCTGGCATTAATTCTGGTGCTTCTCTTTAGCAGGTGTTTATTTTCTTTGAACACGATATTTAAATGTGCCATTATTAGATAGCACTATTATTTGCTCATTGGTTGTGAAGCTACTGCTCCCATGAACTGTTGGGCAAAGAGATGTTTGGCTGGAATTAGAAATGCTGGTAATTGTTGATTGTGGATTCAATGTTTGGCGTACATGCTTTGGATCTTTCTTGTGTAAGTGGACACTTTTGGTTGGTAGAATTAGTTCAAGCAGGACAGCCACTATGTAGATCCCTCCCTAATAAAGGAAGAATATGATAAACCGCACTAGGTCAGCTTAGTTTAACCAAACTAGTGCAACCAATGAGCATGAGAGAGAGGAATCAAGAGGCTGAAAAGAACCAAGAAAAAAATAGTTGATCTTGACAGGAACGTCTGATCATATCCTAATGGGGAGCCTTTTCATATTTTGTTATGTACTGTTTGATTTCATGTACTCTTAAAGCATTTTTTTATTAATGAAAATACTTCTGTTTTAATTATAGGTGTCAGGAGCTGCTATGATGAGGGCAAGCGTGCAGCTGAAACATTAACCATGGACTACCATCGTGGTGCCAACCTTTGAGAGTTTTATGCCATCTGAATGCTTGATATCAATAGCATTCAGATTAATTTTTTGTGGGCTACAGTACAAATATGTTAGCTTGTTTTTTTTATTTAGGTAAGGATTGCCCGGATCTTTAACACATATGGTCCTCGCATGTGCATTGATGATGGCCGTGTTGTCAGTAATTTGTTGCTCAGGTAGCCACCAGTTGCAGCCTCCTCTTTGAACACCTTAATGTATATGCACTTTGTATTTTGGTAATAAGATGCTCATCATGAATTATGTTATTCAGGCTCTGAGGAAGGAGCCTTTGACAGTCTATGGTGATGGCAAGCAGACTAGGAGCTTTCAATATGTCTCAGATTTGGTGGGTCCTCTATCACTCTTAAAGGGGCATTTGAACAAACCTGCCAATACCAAATGCCCTGACATATACAATATGCGTCATATGAGTGCTTAATCTTATTTATGTAGTATCTTAGGCATACCATAGAAACTATCTACAAACTTGGTATCTCAAACATGTTGATAAATACCAGCATCCTTGAAAAGATCCATATGCTAAATATATCCCATGCTTTATTGCTCATCAGAGATGGGAGTGCATATTTATGATCTACCAAAGATGCTTTTGTCAGTCATTTCTCGCTAAGACATTCAATTATTCAGAAATCATGCTTGGTGATGAGTATCAGTCATTTGTTCTACTATCCAATTTTGTTGATTCTATAGGTATACTAAACTGGTGTCACATTTTCTGCAGGTGGAAGGGCTGATGAAGCTCATGGAAGGGGATCACATTGGACCATTCAACCTCGGTAATCCGGGAGAATTCACCATGCTGGAGCTGGCCAAGGTGGTTCAGGACACCATCGACCCAGACGCACGCATCGAGTTCCGTCCAAACACTGCAGACGATCCACACAAGCGCAAGCCTGACATCAGCCGCGCAAAAGAGCTCCTTGGCTGGGAGCCCAAGGTTCCCCTTCGTGAGGTCTTCCCGCATGGTCACTGACTTCCGCAAACGTATCTTCGGGGACCAGGGAGAATCCACTGAGGCAGCTGGTGGCCTTTCTTAGTCCTCAATCAACTTCTTAAAGTGACACGTTTGTTCAGTTTGTATGATCACTTGATACAAAAGCGGGCGGGAGCAAGATCTGGACAGTTTTGGTGGTATGCTCTTCGGTTGCTCTATACAACACGGACAAAAAGGTCATGGCTGCATACGTAATATAGGAATATACAAATGTTTGTTACCAAGTACGAAAATATCATGGCACTGCTGTACTGCTGCTCTTCCTAAATTTGGATGTAATGCTATATACTATGTAACAACCTACTTTTTTGTAATGGCATTGTTAATGGATTATCCGGAATGCTAATAACATCTCAAGGTCATAGCGTTATAAGCTTACATATATTTGAGCATGATGAGTTTCAGTCTGCAATGGAACACAAGACCGAGCAAATGTTCACAGCAATGGAGGGAAGGGAACTTTGACGAGCATATAAGACCTATATATTACAAATTTGCACATCATCACTCCTTATTTGCCATTGTTGAAGCAGGCGCTCATCTGATCCGGGACCGGGACGGTAATTCTGTATTCACATTTCTGCATGGTGATGCGTCCGGCCGGCAAGCCCGCAAAGGAGGCCCGCCGCCGCCTCCGAGGACGCCCTTGTCTGCGCTTTGCCGTCGACGGCGTCGTCACCATCGATGAACTTGGCCGTCGCTGGCACCAGCTTCCTGAAGCGGTCCTCCATGGTCCAGCTCCGGCTGCGCTGGTTGAGCCAGGAGACGATGTCGGAGAAGACGGCTCCACGTTCTCGTCGGTCTCCCCAGCAGTGAGGCCGTGCCACATCCCCGGGTAGAGCTTGATGGTCTTGTCAGCACTGGCCGCGCGCTCGTACAGGGCGCGGCTCACCTCCGTCCGTCACCGTGTCGGCCTCGCCGTGCAGCACGAAGAACGGCAGCTTCACCTGCCCAAACATTCAGAAAAAGTTCAGAACCAGAGTTGAACTGCTGTGACTGACAGACAGATTCTACCGTCGAATGCAACATTGAGACTGAAAAAAACGTGATCGGGTAAGCCTGGTGGTACCTGTGACAAGCTGTCTTCTATGTACATGCTGGTCCTGAGCATCTCCAGCGCAGTCTTGAGCCGTGGCTTGTCCTGGTAGATCAGCCTGTTTCTCCTGATCTGCTTGGCATGGCAGGAGCATCATAAGAGCGTTTCTTTCAGACAAGACCATTTTTGTAAAAAAGCAAGGCAGTCGTCGATGAGATGACTGACCTTTTCACGCTTGACGGGGTCCTTGAAGGCGGCGTCGATGACGTCCTGCTTGGTGGGCACGATCTTCCACTTGGGGATCACGTCCTCCACCTGCGTCAGGAGCGTGATCACCACAGGGTGCGGCTTCACCTTCTCTGATATCTGAAAACAAACAAATTTGGTTGCGTCCACCGGCAACGCAACAGGCCGGACAAGAGTTTTCAGTTCAGGCAAGCACAAGCATGCAACTGATCGTGCAGACGAAGCAGAGGATTCAGACGAGGACCCACTGACCTTGCACATCGGCGCGACGAGGACGGCACCGTCCCAGAAGGCGGGGTCCTTCCTGTGCAGCAGCAGCGCCACCGCGCCGCCCATGGACTCGCCGTACAGGAACCGGCTCTTGCCCCGGTACTCCTCAAGCTCTGCATCAAGGCATAGGAGCAGGTTCAGAGATTTCAGAAAGCGATCTGATCAGGAAATAGGAATGGCAGATGGAGAAGGTAATCAACGATGCAGCCAGCCTAGGCCTAGCTCACGCTCAGGCTCACCCACCGCAGATGGACTTGAAGAAATGGCTGCAGTCGTCGACGAGGCGGCGGAAGCTGCGGATGTAGCAGCGCGCGCCCATGGACTTGCCGTGACCTCGTAGTCCATCCCGAACACGCCGTACCCGGCCGCCGCCAGCCGCACGCCGCATTCTGCACTCATCGATCGTCCACGCATTCGTATTATTGAGAAACAATGAGGATCAGTGAGTGAATACACATTATGCTGTGCTTTGCTATAATGATAAACCGTTGTCCTCACTTCACATAGACATTATTATTCAGGTTAGTTTGTCGGTACGATTTCCACTCAACTGACTAAAACAAGCCAAATGAACGAACACTACTGCATCTCCCATATGTTAAATCTAAACTACAAAACCTGATCCCAAGCATTTGTACAGTCTCTAACTTGAACTACTTGTGCTGTGCTTTGCTGCAGAACATTTCCAATCCCAGAAAGTTGCAATGCCAAGGGGAGTTGGGAGCCTTGAAAACAAGCATCCTAAACATAGCAATAGGGAAGAAGGTGGAGGAGGCCTAAATTCTTGATTGACAACGCCTTCAATCCACTATAAATGAGGCCTGTCCACCCTACAAGTACTCCACATGTTCGGCCATTCCCGCCATTGCTGTGCAGTTGTGTGCATCCACCATCACTGCAACGACCTCCACGCAGTTAAGGCTCGATCGGCGCCATCAAGCCGACCTGCACGAAGCCTTGGGGCCATCGTCAATCATGATGAGCTTCTAGAAGTTCTCGTTCTTCAAGAGTCTAAATGCCTAACCTTTCGTTATATATTTATATATTGGATGTATGTGTATCACTTCCATTCCCATGTATTGAATGGAACTTAGTTTAATTCCCCACTCCAATCCACTTCAACACATGTGATTGAGATGATACATGCATCCAAACAAGGCCTATACGATTATTAAAACTGGAAGAACTTCGATGTTACCAAGTACTATGCCCGTCCAACTGAGTTCCATGTATCAACCAAATCCATCCAGAAAATGAGGTTACGCTGACGAAGCAGGCGATATGATATATGTACTTCAATCATCACCTCATCAAAACATAAAAGAGGAGAAATATTCTACGTACAATCCAGATATACCAACAGACAAAACTCAAGCACACATGCTTGGTTTAGAGAATCTTTTAATATTTCTGTATGGTTTTACAATTTTCAGTTAGGTTGGGTGTACATTACTGTATTAGGATTTGCAATACAAGTACTCCTACTGATGAGTGGTGACTAGCGAGTACTAGTGACCACTGACCACCATCCACCAGTCCACCACACGGCTACTATCAGCCTGTTCGCCTGTTCGCTTTACGCGGTCAAAGCGATCGTAAATTTTCAATGAATAATATTTTTCTCACACCAAACCTGTCAGCGTAATTATCCACGATCGTATACGATCGTATCCAGCACCCGGCGAACCGGCTGTATATCATAATGAAAATGAAATGATCTGACTCCATCCAGCCCTCATATAGCACCCGAACAAGTACTCCTACACACGAAGCACAGGCGCTTATTGCGTGGGTGATGGCAACCCGGCCGGGCTGGGCCGTGGTGGTTGGTCGGGGCAGCTCACCCGTCCAAGCGCCCCCTCTCGCCGGCGACGTACGGCGGCCAGATCGGTGGTCGCGTTACAAGTACGGCGATCATATCGGCGAGAAAAGAAAATGGTGTTGGTTTGGTGCATGTAGGTTTGGTGGGCTGGTGGCTCATCATCAACAACAACGTCTACTGGTTAGATGGGAAAGTGGCCGGCGAAAGCTCCGGCGAGAAGCAAAGCATCGTATTCAGGACGTGATATGTATGCCAGACTACAAGTAATCGAGCAGCATGTTAATTATTTGCAGTCAGTTGGTTTTATCTGTGTAGTTAAGGCAATCCGAGGTTTTTGCCAGCCAACTGTGAATTCATTAATTAAGGAGGCTGACAGATGACCAGGTGAACAGCTAGAGCACGAGCACGTGCAGCGCATTGTCTAGACATTTCTGTCACCTAAACCACTGTTAAGTAACATGCATGAATGAAGCAACTACTAAAATGCAAAACCTCAGAAGAAGCAACAGTAGTGGAGAGATTGGTGAGAGACGTCCTGAGCTGGGCGCTGGTCAGGCATCGACACGATCGGAGGACACGCAGCACGCCAGCACAGCAGCAGCGAGCGGTGCAGGCAGGTGCCTTGAATTGAGACGACCTACCCGGGACGGCGTTTGAATGCGGAGGAGATGAGCCGAGCCAGATCCACTAGCGAGGAGTAACTGCTCATGTCTACCCTTTCAGGTAGCAGGGGTACTTGCACGATGTATACTCCTCGCCGTGCCCGCAGGTGCATGCAATGTGATGTGCTTATCAACATCCGTGGACCGGGACGCATTAAATAAATTACTATGTTACGCTGCTGCTTTTGAGCTACGGCCTTGTTTAGATACCCTTAAAATTTCAAGTTTTTTCACTCTCTCTCCATCACATTAATTTTTAGCCGCTTGTATGGAGTATTAAATGTAGGTAAAAAAATAATTAATTACACAGTTTAGTTGGAAATCACGAGATGAATTTTTTGAGCCTAGTTAGTCCACGATTGGACAATATTTACCAAATAAGACGAAAGTAGTACTATTCATTGGATTGAAAAAAGTTGTAATCTAAACGAGGCCTACGTACATAGCTAACAGAACAGCTGCTGCTGTTTCTGTCGTCAGGTCAACTGTTTGAACCCCGGCGACGACCAAGGAACACTACCCAACACATAGCGGCAGCAAGATGTGGTTTGCTAATCAAGACACGTATATATGTTTATGTTTAATAGTACGTACAACTTTTGTTTACAAGAAAGTACATACGAACGAACTACTATATATTGTCCTTGGTAGTATTTGTTTCACCTGATACTAACTGCTTTTACTGAATGCCGGAGGAAAAAAAAAACCAAGGTCGTTACTGCATGCACGACGCTTATGTATCAGCCGAACACAGCCGATTCAATAAAAGGTGACGCATGTACGGCAACTTTTATGAGAATAATACTAGCAGGATATGGGGATTTTTATTTCATCGATCGAAGAGCGTGGAACAGTGGAGATGAACAACAATCCAAAAGATTGGCAATATATATAATGCAAAGTTAGAAAAGGAGCAAGAACCTTTCAGAGAAAAAAAAATGTACACATATATACTGATCTTTCTGTCATTTTTTTCCCAAAAAATTGTGAAAAAGAAACCAACACAAAGAAAGGAAGCACAGAAAGACATGCAACTGCAAGAGCACATCGACCAAAGTCGATGAAGCGATGGAGTAGATGTGACATACCTCTCATGAAGCCACTGCACTCCATGCCGTAGCCTGAGGCAAGCAACACGATCGAACACAAATGAGAACGAGTAGTAACTGAAAGAGCTGTTAGTGACGACGGTTTGTGTATCTGTATTCTAGTGCAGAGCTAACAGGTAACTGATGAAACAAGGAAAGGAACAGCTAAGCTCATTACTCCGCGTGAACGTAATTATTACCGTGGCAGAGGAAGACGAGCGCCTTGGGCGATGTGGCGACGGGCAGCCAGCCGCAGGTGAAGAGCTGCACGCCCCTCGAGTTCCGCACGTACTCCTGCTAGTCCGCCGTCCGATCCATGGCGTTCCGCGACCAAGGAAGAAGAAGAAGCGCACCAAACGGAGATCAGCAAGGACGAAATGAAGGCCCGGCGGAAAATCAACCAACAACCAGTCGCCCACCGCAATGCGCGGAGCAGACTCCTCTCACCCTCACCTCGTGGTATTCGACCTCCATGTCTTCCACTCCACGGCCGCCGCGGCCCGTCGAGGCGTGCGTGACAAGGGGTGAAAAGATCGGAAAGAACTGCAGGTGCTGCTGGTGAGGCTCGTGTGAGCCAAGAAGAAGAACCGAGGCTCGCGTGGAGGCGAGGTCAGGCGCCAGAGGCGTCTGGTTTTTATGTAATAAAGTTGGGGTGCACAGGCACGGCAAGCAAGGGCCCTTCTGGATTCGGATTTGGGACGCGGCTGCAGCTCCGTCCGTTCCTGGGGTGGGACACGGAGAGGAGTTGGCAGCGGACGGGCTTCTAGACGAGAAGACCGGGATGCATTGCATTGGGCTGTTTGGATGATGCTGTGTGTGCCAGTCATCAATTCGGACCCCAGGCCGGCAGGCCTACCGAACCGTACGGTTCGGATCACTTGAGTGCCGGTAATTTGTTGGTGCCGCCATTGTACATACATGTTACACGCATGAACACCACATTCGCACAAGTAATTAATCCAAACATGGCCCAAAGTATGGAACATGCATGTACCTAATCAACAAAAGGTTCTAAAATAATTTACACTGAGTACCATTCGGAGGCACCTCAATCACTCTATCTGATCAGAGTGTCCAAACTGAACATCGTTCGTCCATCTGGCAACAAAATCAAGAATTATGAAACGACGCAAACACACCAGTATCAAACGCCTTGGGTTACATATATCAATGCTATATATGCATGACCCTGTTATCTTCTCTTGTAGAGAAACTGCACAGCTGCTAGCAGAAAAAGGAGTTAGCAAAAGGTCGCACCAATGGTTCACTAAACCATGCCATCTAGCAGACTGATTTTATTCTCTCGACAAGAATCGCAATGAAGTCAGATTTTGATCTGGGCCAGAGGAGTAACAGGGTAACAGCTTCACTGAGTCCATGATACTCGGGTAATATTTGCAGTGATGTAAATTCCCAGCAACAAGTTAACAACTCCAAACTGCACAGGCTGGTAATTGATGAACCTCAGCTTATGGCTCCTCATGCAAAAATGACCAAGGCCCCGATTTCCATAGCAACCTGAGGGTTTTTTTCCAGTGAGTTCACTAATTAATATCAGAGCATAACAGAGCATGCATTGCATCAACTAAAAAAAGCATAGATGTCAGTCAGGTGTTTATTTAATAAGCAACTCCAAAAATGCGCCATTTTACCAGCCAAAGCGTCCATGTTCGTGTGAAATGAAGAAACTCTATGTGCTACCAGGTGCCAGTTGGTACAAAGCACATGGCATAAATTTCACCTATCTAGCTGAAGCTAAGAAAAGTGACACAAACAGTGAGGATCTCTGAAAGATCACAGAAAAACAATGCTTCCTGGCATTGATGTAATCTGTTCCTGATGATCAGCAAACATGTTGCACAAATGAAGTCATGATGACAAGTGGAAGATCTAACCAGTATGAGTAGCAGTAATAGTCTTTAACATCTATTAATGTCAATTTTACTGCTAAGCCACATCAATCTTATGAAATTACAGAACATCATAATATGATTTTTTATTATAAAATAGATTAATAGAATGAAAAAATAAATTGCAGGATCACAAATGCATTGTGCGAGGTACAAGGTAGAATAATAAACACAATCACCTCAGAACGCCTGCAGCCATACGCAACCCCATGAGTGTAGTCAAACCAGCCCAAACTCCAGCCAGGCCAAATACAGATGGAGCCCATAACAGGACGAGTGAAGACATAACACCAACCACAATCTATAGAAAGAAAAATACAGAAATGAATAAACAATTGAAAAACAAAGGATACGAAAAAGCTGGAGGACTAGTTAACATACAGTAGCTTGAGCAACATAGTCAAAATCTGATACACCATAGTGTAGACCGTCAAAGATGAAGGCCAGGGCATTAATTGGTTGACTGGCACAGACAAACTGAAACGAAATTTAACATTAGAAAAAGACATAAATGACACAGAAATTAGCAGTAATGTTGGAGGATTTACCAATGCACAAGATTTGACAACCATTAGGACCTCTGGGTCACTGGTAAATAGTCTAGCTATATTGCCAAATGAGGCATACAATCCAATGGCCAAAGCTAATCCACTAAACACTCCTATCTGGAAGAGAGAAAAACATACAAAAAATAGTGAAAACGTGCATCCATATGCATAAATTAAACTTTAAATAAAAAGAAGTGAAATACATTTCACCTGCAATGCAAACATTGCTATCTTTTGAACCCTTTTGTAGTCCAATATTGCATAAGAGCTTGCTATCAGCGCCTAAAAGAAGAAGAAAAGTTAGTTGGACTATAACAACTGATAGATCATGATCAGATCATCAAGCTAGAACAATCTCAGTATATAATAGTATGTTCTAAAAGTTTGCAGGCTCTGCATATAGTATAGTTGACCAGCAGAGTTTAGGGAAACCAATTTTAACGGGAGGATGACTTCTAGAACTGAACATACATACCTGGGCAGAAACAGCTAAAGCGTCTGCAAGCAAAGATACAGCAAGCCATACTTGCAAACAAATCTGATGAGCGGCCATCGCTGTTGGGCCTTGCCGAAAGCAGCCATTGATGTACCAATGGTCATAGTTAACAGAATTGAAAGAGTTCTTCCCAACAGCATGCCACCTACATATCCAAGGATACATAGATGATAAGTAAAGATGCCAAAACAATAAGGAAAATAAGAAGAAAATAGGAAAACAGAAAATGAGTGTATTAGTGCCCAGAAGGTTGACATGAGATCTCAAAGGACTGTATGCTGTAGGCATGGATTTTTTACAACTTACTTTTTTTTTTTTTTCTCAAACGCCAAGAAGAGAGCTGTGCATCATTGTATTAAGAAAAGAGGAGCTAAGAAGACTCATACAAGCCCACTAGAGCAAGGTCCAAAAAATAAGAGAAAAATGCCCAAAAAAAAAAATCCTTGACCAGCAACCTAACAACAAAATCATTGCCAAATGCTTCTAAGGTCTTTTGCACCCCATAAACTATAGATTAGCCTCATGATTTTTACCACTTACGGCAAACTTTATGGTGTTTGGAAAAACTGGTTCTCTTTTTCCCCTAATTGCATTAATCAGATCCATAAATGTTCGTTCCCAAAACAAAAGATCCATAAATGTTCCTCCTAGAAACAGATAACTAATTTAAAATGACACAATGCCCATATGTTAGCTAATTGATTCATTGATGGTGAAGATATACAAGTGGCTAGAGAATGAGGAATTCATAAAGGACAATGTGGGCTTTAGCAAGAAGCCTAGAACATAGACATTCAGTGCCCTATTTCTGCTTTTCAGAGTTGAGTTGGACCAAATTAAATGCATCATGCTGGCACAAATGGAATTATCAATGGGTCAAACTTCTAAATTAAGCAAAATAGCTCAAAGCTCCAAGCAAGAAAGATCCAAACTCTGACAAACCAGACAATGAGTATACCAAAGATGCTACAAAAGCCGGTAAAAACACATTATGAAGAAGTTTCATATAGAATGCACCACAAATCCACAACTGAACAAAATTAACTAGTGGAGTGGCTGCATCAGACATTCACCAGATTTTAGATATCCACCAAACTCTAACTGATCTATTCCCGAGGAAGCAAAACAGCTTTTTTACTTAGAGACCAAGAAGAAGAACAGTAATAATGTACCTGCATCGTGAATGGAAACATTGTTAGACAAACTCAAATTGTAACTAGCAAAAGTTCTGTCAGTGATCCAAATTTATAACTGCATAGTACCACTGATGATAGGAACTTACTGGGACACAACTGTAGAAATTGCAGCACCAGTTATGCCAAGCTGAAAGCCATATATAAGTAGAGGAAGAAGGGCTACAGCGGAAAGATTGCCCAAACCTATAGGGTATGAAAATGATACAGGAATCATGAAGTGGAAGAATACAGGGATTTGGCACCAGACAGTATGGAAGAATAAAGTTCAAATAAAACTTTGCAAATAAACAGCATCCACATTTAAAGCATAAAAGGAATAACATGATTTACAATACTGAGAATGGAACATTATAAGAATTTTTTTTTCTCGAACAACACAAGAGATCTGCATGTCATTCCATTATAAGAAGGAAAAGAGGTACAAACTATATACAGAAAAGGGAGAGGCTAAAGGAAGCCCCTCCCAACACAATGACACACACGAGACTACAAAAGGATGTGCCAAGCTAAGGGACACAAACACAACCACAACCAGCCCACCTGCAACCACCCTCAAGGGTCAGGGCCTAGCAACCTAAAGAGGAGCTCATGGAAGGCCGAGGCGCCAGCCAATCCACAGGCTGCTTTCATTAGCCACTGTGAGAAGGAGAGTCTGAATGTTTGGTCCAGCACCTTCAAAGACAATGGCGCTTCCTATGTTTCCATATCTCCCAGGCAACAAGAATGATTAGAGAGTTAAGGCCTTGCGCATCTCCTTAAGGAGACCTCTAATAGCACTGCCCCACCACTGGGAGAATCATAAGATATTCCACAGCACAATAGACAGAACTACTCAGAATATCAGGTAAGAATGGTAAAAAAAAGTCAGCCACAACAAGGAACTTAGCTACATGGCAACTCGCTGTTACTTGCATCAAAACGTACTTCGCAGTGCTCATGTGTTAATATAAAAATGAGAAAATTGCAAAAAAACCACTCCACGCCAATTTGGTTTTGAGAACACACCCCTGGGCATTTTGTTGCAAAGGCCCACCACCCTTACCCAGATCCAATGTAAAAAACACCCATCCATGCATGAGTTCAGCTGATTCCGCCTGTTTTTGTCAACACAGAGCCAGTACAGGCCAAGGTAGCTGAGTCAACCATGAGTGGAATCGACCAAGCATGGGCATGGTAGGGTGGTTTTTGCAATGGGGCCAAGTGCAGGAGTGGGCTTTTGCTACAACACCTTTTGGGGAGATATCAAAATCAGAGTGACATATGAGGTGGCTTTAGCAATTTTCCCATAGAAAAAAAGAGGGGAAAGGTGATGAAATTGCAATATATAGTATTTCTTGGTAGTTACCTATATAAAGCACCGGAGTCTTTGTATCCTTGAATCCCCGAAAGATACCTTGGACTGCCAACATAATCACATTTGCAGGTGCTCCGAGAGCTCTCAATGAAAGAAAGAGTTTCGCAGGTCTATACATTGGAGAGACCTGTATAAATACTAATATGAGATATCTAGAACTGCAACAGGTGCAAAATTACTTATTTTTGTATTCAGTTAAAGAGTCATTGCCAATAATGTAGTAGAAAAGGCAATATAAAATGTTCCTCCCTATAACACGATGTGAAAACATGAAAACAAGAATCATAATTTAAACATACAGGTGACACGCCCATTAGTTGAAGAAACAATCCTGATCCTAGGAACAATGCTAATGCTTCCATTATACCAATTCCAGCAGCTAAGATCAGGGCAGATGATACAGATGTCAACTCCAATTTGCCTGCAATGATATCAGAAGGCAGATACAAACCCTGAATTATAAAGCAAGCACATAAAAAGACACATAACTATATGTGAGGTTAAAAAAAATTGGCATTTATCTGACGATTCAGTTACCTGAACTAGGATGCTTGGTAGCACTCCTAGAAATATCCTCTGCCACAAATGAGGTTGCAATGCTCAACAGTGGAATGTTGAAGATCTTTGACACAATATTAAAAATTGACATACCAATACCAGCCGATGCCAATTCCAATGCACCTTTCAGAAAATATGCAAAAGGTGAGAAAGGGAAGAAGTAACAGATGCTTTCATGCAGTAAGTAAAGAGTACAACACATTTTTCCAGCTCGACAGGCAAGTGTGTAGGGTATTCTTTAACATGCCTAGGTTCTGCATGCCAGTTTACAGAATGCACAATCTTCTAGAGAACAAGGACAGGCTCATGTGCATTTCCACACGATAATGTAATGTGCATCTGTAACTGCCACACTAGGGCCAGAAATCTGTTGTTTCATCTCAGCAGTTATCATGCAGGAGATCTATAGCAGCATTCTGGTGATGAGCTCATGCATTAATATGCGCACTCCATAAAAATTAAAATAGATAGTAAGAGGCATTAAAGGGATTAATATACAGCACAACTGTGACATTCCAAATAGTCTTCTTGATAGAGAAGGAAACAGCAATGTTCTTTGAGTTCAGTCATGCTGTAGTATAGCAAATGTTGCAGTTACAGTAAGTTTCCACCAGATTTTTTTTAGAAATAATGCCACTGAGTTGGGTGTCACTAACATATTATCTTACATAAGGTATAAAATCTACTTCCAATGAAACAGAAGTACTGAGAATTAAGTACATTGGATGGCTTATGGCAATAAACTTAAGCAATGAATAAAAAGCAATGAACATAAGATATAGCAGTAAAGGAGGTACCTAATCTACCAATGTATGCAGTCTCCATAAGTTGCGCCATTGGATCAATAGCTTGACCCAAGACTGCTGGTAGAGCTAGAAGAATTAGCTCACTTCTGACACCCACAGAATTCAGGCTGCTGTTTATTCATCTGATCGTTAGAAAAGGCACACTATATCATTTGAAATGTAAGACATTAAGATACAGAGCAACATAGCTGTAGCCTACCAGTCTAAAGAACAAGGGGCATGTGAAAATCAAAGCTTACATAGAGTTATAGTGGAATATATAGTCTTACATGACAGCGCCCTTACGGTAGCAAAAGAGATGTTGTTGCCTGTTTCAAGGCATTGATCGCCATCATCAGGTGTGTATCCTGGTACTGACTGGCCACTGTCAACAGTGGTGATTCGCCGCCTTGTAGAAGACCACCCCCGCAGAGGAGGAGCAACTTCGCATTGTTGGTCGATTGCGAAGCAGTGGTTCTGCTTGTTTGCCTTGTTACATATGCAAGAACAAGCAACCCTAGTCGGTGGACAAATCGCACCATGCCGAGAGACAAGTTGACTGTGCTGGTGCAGGTGCAGCATTGTTTTGCCTCAGATGTCTGGACGAGGTGCTTAGACAACGTTGCTCATTCTTGTATATGCAATGTGGAGGAGAGAGCACAGCCGAGTGAATGGATCAATAAATAAATTGCTGGCATAGCTCATTGAATTTTCAGAAATTTTGGGGAAAAACGAAGTTAGTTGGCATAGTAGCTAGTACTAGCATATACCTGCAGTTGGGTCAGATCTGAATACAAATAGCTTACATTAGGGTATGGGGTGCACGTTTTCGCACGGCTGGAAGGGAAGGGGAGGGATGAGCGTACCTGGTGGATGCTCGTCACCGGCGACAGGACCAACGAATCCCTGGCGGCGCCGCTCGCCCAACGTCGCTTGGTCTCTTCCACCCTCTCTGCTGCTTCCAAATCAATATATCACGCTCAAGCCCCGGGTATTTCAATCCATTTCACGACTTTCAATCCATATATCACGCTTTGATTTGATGCTTCGTTTCAGAGGAGTGGGGGAGTAAGCAGAGACAGCGAACGGGGGAATCGAGCAGAAAAGTTAGTGGATAAGGTCAGGGCAACATTGTCTTTTCATATCTGCGTGTATTTGCCATTCAGTTTTCTGAATTTTTTCCGACCAAAAGTTTATATGCTTCAGAGGGCCAGAGCGGGCTATGAAGTATGAATGTGCAATAGTAAACGGAAGTTGTGATTTTACTCCACCGTTTTATTTTTACATGTTATACGGAGTATTAGTTTTATCGTAAATTAAACATTAATATATTTAACTGTTTATTTCAAAACAAATCCTTATAGCTTCATAACATATAAATCATATATTATGAATGATTAATCATGGTGAATCTAAAAAGATAAATCTTATGTCATGAACCTATATAATTTTTTTGAAATCAATGTTCAAAGACACATTTTTAAATTAGGACAAAGTTAATACGATAGGTAAAAAAAACGTAGGGAGTACTTCCTCCATTCTAAGTGATGATTTACAAATCATTTTATTTTTTTAGAAAAATAGTTTTACTACACATCTAAAAATAAATATATGCCTAGAAACTTCAAAAGAACTTATAATTTGAAACAAAGTGAGTACCTTATTTGCAACTCAAGTTTTTTTATATAAAGTTTCCTAGCTATTCGAGGTTGAGGGAACTGTGAACTTGCATTTTTTTTCCAAAGAAAAATGAGGCGGCGGTGACACCAGGTAGTTACAGCATATGCAGTTTTTTTTTCTCATTTCCTAATGCAAATTTAAGAGTTTTAATCTTATTAAATTAAATAAAACATCATATAAGCTAAATAGATAACACTATAAAAAGTTTATGGAAAAAATAATAAGTTTCATTTAGATAAAAGCTTGCTATGCCTATACGTGCTTGCCTATATATTGAAACATCACCATGACATAATAGTTTCATCTTGAGTTGGAAACAAATGTAACTGCATTGTGGCCGGTTTGTTCCAGCCTATTCGCAAGCCCTTATAAGCGACTGTTGCTGCAGCGGCCTCTCACAGGCTACTGTGCAAACAGCAGCAAGAGCTACAACAATAGCTGCAGCAAACAGGCCCCCATTGTAGGAGGGATCATGGTGCCTAGATGTATGTGGTCACGAATGAAGAGTAGAGAGTTAAATTGCATCACCGAAAATATTTATGGACTCTACTTATTTTCATAAGATTAACCTAAATGTGCTAGAAATAAGTGTAGCTAGGAATAATCTAGTGCTCTACTTAACAACCCCCCCACACCCACCCACACACACACACAAGAGTTGTACACCATATAACCAAGTACAAGTATTGTCAACTAGCCTATTAGCTAATCTAAGAATGGCGAATACATGCAACAACAAGTAATAGGCATAATTGGAGTAAGGCATGAACAATGAAAGATAAAACCTTAGAGATGCAAGTTTATTCCATGGTATTGGTTAGCAAAATACCACCTCTAATCCAAGTTGATGCTCAAAAAGGAATCACACACCCGATTAATAAGGTTGTGTTATTTTCCATGGATCAGATATAACGGCTTATATTCTGAAAGCATTTGGTTAACGAGTGTTGATGGTCATTTTAGTATGATTTTGTATAGTCAAAACCGTTAACCTTGCCATGCAAACATAAAGAAATGAGCATAACATGAACATATTTTATTCAAATGATAAGTTCCACATGTACATGGAGTTTATTTGGTGTAGGAAGATTTTGGTGATAATTAAATTCTCAATTCTGCTATCAATAGAGTTCACATTTGAGATGAAAAATGTACATTATATACTTAAAATATCCTAAAATAGAAAATACATACTTTTGGAAGACTCACACTGCAGGGGCCCACTTGCAAAGATGAGCAAAATGGGCCTAGTGCAGGTCGTCGCTTGACGGTCAACTGTGCCCAATGGCCCCAACTTTGGTCCACAAATAAAAAACACAATAGGGATCACATCCCACCGTTGGGATTAAGTCGGTGGAGGATCAATGGAATAGATGAAGTGTCACATGGATCCATGAGCCCATAAGGCAATCAAACGAGATCAACACATCAATCCCCGCTTAACCCATGTCTATAGTCATGCTAAGACCCACCACACGGAAGATGGTGGTCCTATGCATCGATGGGGCATTGGCGGATGTACCGTATGGTCGGGCCGACATCATGTTGCACCATATCGCCTCAATCTTTCGGACATGCAAGGAAACATAATTGTGAACATCTCTACCTGTGGGATTCACGTTGGCTTGATCCAAAGGTGTGCAGGATCCATCACTTGGATTGAAGGGCCTACCTCCTCACTCTCTCCAGGCTATACATAGGAGGTGCCCCTCTCACATGTAACACACACCACAAGGAGCAAGTCTCTGCACTCTCTCAAGACATAGTAGTAGTAGTAATAGTATAGTTGGGAGTTAGAGTGAGTTGAGCTTAGTCTCGGGTTTCCCGATCTAGTCTTCATGGAGGTATGGTAAAGCTCTTGTAATGTTTCCTTTCTTTGCAAGACTTTTGAATTATCTTATATACTTTGCCTTAGTGTTTACTTTATTGCAACATACCTAGTTGTGTTGTATTGATTATTAGCATAGTCATAGTTGTATGCCTATGATATAGAAGTAATATACCTTTGTGCCCGACCTTCTAGCTTTTATTTCTAAGTTCTAGTGATGCCAACCTTCTAGCTTCACAAACAATACATGGCCAAAACAATATCTATCTCTTATAAAATAAAACCCCACTAGCGAGTCTATTTGATTCCACAACGATTCACATCATCACCTAATATAATCCGTTTAATTAGATTTGTCAACCAAATCCATCCACTCATCTGTTCAGCCATTCGTAATCCGTTTCTTAATTTCTAGGTACATGCCCACGCATTACAAGTCTGAATGAACCGCTTGACCCCATTGTTCAGTAGCAGATGAAAAAAAGCAAAACAATTACTCACGCCGCCACCTACACACTTCTTGCGTTGTTTCGTCTTGGAGAAATGTCGCCGCCCACGGAAAAAAGGAAAAGAAAGCGTCTCTGCCTGCTGCCCTAGTGCTCCACATCGCCGCCCTTCGCCTCCACTTCTTCCCCTTACTGTTGACTCTCGTTGCATGTGATTGGTGCTCTCCTCCTATGCCCCACATTCATGCTCTGCTTCAAACTGCCACATCGCCACCATTCCCATCCCATTCACACTCTAACCGCCACTGCCTGCTACCTTCCTAGCACCACATCGGCCATGGAACCATCTTCCTCTTGCCTGTGCCCACCATCTGGTGGATATATTCTCTATGATTGTGGTAATTCATCATATTACATCACAAGTTCATACGTGTTCCTACATTACCAATATCATGCATATACATACTCCTATGATTCAGTGGTTAATGTCTAAATCCATTCATCTATATATCTTGATACCCGCAGCAACGTGTGGGGAATAATGCTTCTAGACGTAAGGGTAGTAATTTTATTGGTATCGCACATGAATACATGATACACATCATGGACCCAAAATAAAAGAAACTCTTTATTATATTTATTATAATAAAACAGCTTTCCTATACTCTCTTAAATCATGATGTGCACACGCATGAACAAAAGGCTACATCTAGTTTTGCAATATACATGCTAGTCCCCTACCGAATGTTTGGTGCCGCCGAGTGGACCTGCATGATGCATGCTAGCTCTGTCGCCGGCGTTTGGCGTTATATTTTGCATGCCCTTCACCGCTTCATCATTCATTCATGCATGCAAGCGATCCGTGTTGGCGTTTGGCGCGTAGAACCTTTTGGGGTTAGCCACAACATTAGGCAACACCAGCTGGATCGGAGTGTACCAAAAGTAATCTTGGATTCAGTCATGAAGAAGGGAGGGTGAGTCTTTGAGATCCAAGCAACTAGCAAGCGCCTGAGCCGTGGTAGCTTTGATAATATACATACAAGTCAACGGATGCATGGCCATTGGCCTCAAGGAATCCAGCCCAAAATAAACACAACTTGCCCGCCACGGATACGTACAGTCTCGGCCTTTATTGTATGAGTATATATCTTTATGACAGGGACAGCTTTGCGCCAATACGCCATCGTATAGTTATCTCTCCATTGCACTCAGCGTCGGCCCAAACGAACCGAACAAACATCGCAATCGCTCACAAGCTCTTGGAAGACCCGTGTCCAGAACTCCAGATCCCAGCCGAGACAACCCAAGACCCAACCATCCGGCCGGCAAGGTCCTGCAACAGGAAGCAATTGCTTTTTTTTTCTCTATTTTTTTTAGATAAAAGAACAAATGTTCCGGCTTCAGCTTCTCCCAAAAGAGAAGCACCGGACCAAGCTTATTATAAAGTTTAGTTATTATCCTATCAAATGTTTGACACATGTATAGAGTATTAAATATAGACTAAAAATAACTAATTGCACAGATTGTGACTAATTTGCGAGACGAATTTTCTAAGCCTAATTAGCACACGATTCGATAAGGTGTCGCT